GCCAGTCACAACTTGCACATTCCAAAATTTTGTAATCTCAATTTAACCCAAACGATTCATCGCTCGATCGTCACTCAAATCTATTTTTAAAGGTGTTGTTGCAGGATTTTCGCTAATTGCTACAGGGCTGGCGTCAGGTTTTGATGAAACATCGTCATAACACCGTAAATGACGTTTTTATTAGGATTTACTGCATCATTTCACCCAAAATTCTGCTTTTTCATGCAACGAAAATAATCTTGAAATGTCTTTTGTTTCTAATTTTAGATTTTTGACTTTTCGTATTTACTTAACTAGAACATATAAAATGCTTGTTTGTGGTACGTCAGTTTTTTAAATAATTTCTTGGAGTATGTAAATTAACTTCTATTTCAAAAGACTTTAAAGTACAATTTTAATATAAACCAAACAAAGTTTCCCACAGTTTAAAAACAACATATAAAAGACTGTTTTAATTAAACACAAGACGAACGATTGTCTTGGTTGCTGTAAAAGATCAGCAATTACAGATTACTCTCTAACAGAAGACGACCAGCAGAAGCCATAGATAGGGACTAATAATAAATCCAGAGAAAACTAATAGAAAAATAATAAAGTTTCATGTACTCTAAATCAACAGAAGGTTAGCCTTATCTACAACAAACAGAATGAGTTCGTGTTTCAGTACATTGGATATTGGTTTATTAAAACTTTTATTTATTCTTTTTATTTGTGCAGCCCAACAATATTATTAACCCAATATGAAGAATTGCTGGTTTGAAAGTTCCTGGAAGGAGTAGGAGGGAAAGACCAAACAGGATTTAAGGGTAGACGCTTAGGCAAGATATGCCGGTAAACTTATGGAGAAATTTAATTAATTGTATGAGTATATGGACAAAGAGAATAATAATGGATAACTACACAATATCCTTAAAATTTTCTGCATTTTCAAAACTTTAACATCCAAATTTCAAATTTAGATTTAGATAAATGCTCCTCCTAACAAAGTAACTGTCATCGCCATTCTATACTCAAAATTAATTTAACAATAAATAAATTTCAAAAAACAGACTAGATGGTTAAGGTAAACAGAGAAATAGCTCACTTCTATCATAAGAAAACTCCTCATATAATTGTAGACTTGACAGGGAAATGATGATATGTGAAAAACAAAATTCGGAAAAGCTGGTTTACTTACAGAAATAAACTATTTAACGACGTCAGACCAAAAGAGATATTAGGTAAATACGGAGGATCAGAGATACTAAATATAGAAGGTATCGGGCCAACAGGAAAACTGTTGGCCTTGATAACATCCTAAAAGGTATATTAAAACTAATTAACGAAGAAAACATTAAAATGTTGGATAAACTATTCAACCATATGTACTCAACTGGTGAAATTCGAGAGGACTGGTTATGAATTCATAACTTTATCAAAAAACAAAAAAAAAAAACAACGTCCAAAACGCTGTAGCGAGTATATACTTAGAAGTCTAAGAGTATGACCGTGTCTTTGAGGTTATTCCTACTTGATTAGAATAAGAAATAAGTGTGAACAAGATAAATATGACTTTTGCTATAGACATGTTGAGAAATGTTTTTGTGAATCAAAGAATCATTATAGAAAATTTAAATTTTCTTTGAAACGCATACAAAGTTATATAAAAAAGTCTTAACAATAAATTAAAGTAAAAAATAAAAATAAACAATTGAATGACCAAACAATTGAATTAGCATACTACGCGTCTATTAATATTCGTCAAAATTAAGATTTGATTTTATTTATTTTTTTCTATTTTATTCCATTTTATTCTGTTTTATTTCATTTTTGTCTAGTTTAACCTATTTTATTTTTATTTTAATTTTATTTAATCTTGTTTTATTTTATTCTACTTTATTCCATTTTATTGTGATTTATTTTAGTTTATTGCATTTTATTCTACTTTAGACTATTTTATTTTAGTTTATTCTATTTTATTCTAATTTATTTAATTTTATTCTATTTTATTCCATTTTATTCTATTTATACTCTATTTCATTATATTTGTGTTTATTTTACTCTACTTATTCTGTTTTAGTGCACTTTATTCGATTTATTTTATTTTAATTTTATATTATTTTATTCTATTATTTTATTTTTTTTTTAATTTTATTTTAATACACACTTTCTGACATTATTGTTAAACTTAAAATCTACCTAACGATATATATATTATATATATATATATATATATATATATATATATATATATATATATATATGTTGCTTAAGTTTCCCTAAAAAAAGGTAACTTCCCAACGCTGTCGTTGGTGGTCATTTAGCTGTTTGTGTTGCCTTTTCTCTCGTGAAATAATGTTGTTGTCCATTCACCAGGTGAACAGTTTTTATACGAAAAATAAATAAAATAATTTTTAAACTGCCTGATTGACATATGTTCCCATCTGATATGTTGAAACTTCATCGTTAAGATGTGTAGCCTTAATACCAGGTACAGCTATGTCCTTATGTCAATCTATAAATCCTGACATTTATTTTGGTAATCATAGCTTTCTTTTTTAACGTTAGTACGGTGCTACTATTAGTGATTTTACGATTTAAAGTAACGGAAATCAGAAAAAAATTTTTTACGTCTTTCAATTCAATTTTTTGAAAATTATCTTTTACAAAAACCTTGTCCTCATAATAGCAAACACAACAATAAAATAGATGGGCACTTAGCCCGATTGCCATATAAAAAAAAAAAAAGAACAATAAAATAATTATTTAGTTTGCTGCAGTCGTTCTAAAGGTATGCACGTACAAGGCGATATTTTATTTATATATAGGTATAGGAGTTGATAGCTTCGACGACAGAATCAACTTTTGTAACTTTTTTAAAGTGTAACTTTTTTAAAATGGGGTCATTCACTGTAACTGTAAACTTCAATGTCAGTTGTATTATGTGGTGGCGAGGTATGGATCTTGAACGTATTTACCATTAACCGCTTAGAGGCTTTTGAAATGTGGTTGTATAAACGGACACTAAAAATACCGTGGACAGGTAAGCACACAAATGAAGCAGTTCTTAACCTAGCAGAAGCTAATCATCAGGAACACAGGAATATCGTGCACATATAATTTATATAAATAAAAACACTATAATATTCTTAGACTAATTATGATAAGTAAAATCTAAAGACGCAGAGGAATTGGTAGAAAACAAGTTCCGTAACTGAAGAGTATATTATATATAGTTCAGACTAGATCAAGACAGATGACTTGCCATCTTAGACACGTTAAGAAGAAGGTGAAGGTGTAACAGCGGGGTGATACATTTAGAAAATAAATAATTAGTACGATGGCGAATTGACATCTAAGTTCGAAGCTAAAAATACAAAAAAATAAATACTTATTTTTGAGATCCGTCATATTCCCATTTTCAAATTTGACTCTTATAATTAATTACCTCCAAAATTTGTTTTTACCACATTTCGTCAATAATGTTATTTTTTTTTAAATGTCTTCCGGAAAACATACTAAACGAAACAAATATTTTGGTGTGCGTGTAGATTTGCACGAATATTTCGAAAAACAACAACTTGGGTGCCAATTGTTTACCATCTTAAGAAGGCCAAAAACAAATCAAGGTGTACGTAAATATATTGTTGACAACATTAATTTTGATAAAAGTTTCTTATTTATCAGATTTTTATTTATATACTTAACCACAACAACATAAGAAGGTCAGTTAGGTATTTTGAGATTATTAACAGGTGTACAGAAACATGAAAACGATAGTTTCATACTTTTTCAAAAAATATTTGTAATGAAAAAATCCGTTGATAATGGTTTTACGTTCTGTATTGAGAAAAACAGTTGCAAATAAATGTGTCATAACTTGAAGACAACGATGGCATGTACATACATTGTACTTCGACTGGCTTTGTCATCCACGATGTTCTCCAGACCTTGTATCCAATGACTACTGACTGACTAATCTCAAAGGAATACTCTAGACAATCATATTTTCCTAAAAATGAAAAGCTAATTGCTGAAATTAAGGCATAGTTTGAAGTAAAGACAAATGAATCTACAGAAACGGCAGAACAAATATTGTTAAAGAAGCATTGGAATCAATGAGCGTATATTGACGACTGAAATTGAATTTTGCATAAAAGTTGTTTAGTAATAGTCACTAACGGGATAGAAGTTGCTAACGGCAACCTAGACAGGATGCTTATCGTAATCGAGGACGTCCTCCATCAAGGGATTTAGCGTGCTCAAGATTAGATGGAATGGAATTATATACTCTAGACATAATAGACACAATCGAAGCCAAAAGACTTAACTGGTATGGACACCTTCAGAGAATGCCGGAAAATAGATGGCAAAAAGAAGAATGGACTCCGCCAACTAGAAGAAAACGAGGTAGACCAAGACGATCCTGGAGAGACGATGTCGACAATGCAATGACCGCCAGAGATCTAACAACTGAAGATTGCTTCGACAGAAAACGCTGGAAATTAGGATGCGAGAGCGGCGCCAGCTGTAGAAGACTCGCTTGTTATATATATATATATATATATATATATATATATATATATATATATATATGTATATATATATATATATATATGTATATATATATATATATGTATATATATATATATCTATATATATATATATATATATATATATATATATATATATATATATATATATATATATATATATATATATGGAATTATATATGGGAGGCCTATGTTCAGCAGTGGACGCAAAACGGCTGATGATGACGACTAACGGAACTTATCGAGTGAAGTATGGAAACTATGTCCAGAGTCTAAGATCGGATGTGGACGATTTCAAACACCAAATTTAATAATTCCAATGTTTCGCAAATCTTCACATTTGTATAATATTTTAAAAGCACTTAAATTATGTAGGCAAATTAAAACAGAGTAACAGTCAATTATCATGCGTTTTGGTTTATAATTTAGCAAAATATTCATAATACCTAATCAAAATAAGATACTTACTTTTGTTCAGTTCTTGTGAGTTTCTTATAGCCAATATACAAATCTGAAAAACAAAAAGTAAAAAATGAATTTAGAATATTATTATAGATGTTTACGATTATGAAGACGCATTGTATCTTAAATGTTGCTCGACATTTAGGCAAATATGTATGTGGGTGGAAATTTCAACTCGAAGCTTTTAGAACGTGCTAGAGAATACAAGAAGCAAATATTGGAAAATTTAATACTTCCATTAGTAAGAGTGCTTTACTTTCCACAATAAATTTATAAACCATCAAAATAACTACTGAGCTTGCACACTTACTAAAGCTACATAGTTGTTTTTTTAAACGAACAATTTCTGGTTTATTTAGGATCGTAGAAACACGAAAAAATATATAGACAAAAACAGAAATAATTCATGTAATAAAAAACATGAAATAGAACAATTTGTGCATGAAACTTGGTTTTGCTAAGGTTTAAACTTTTTGTTCAAGAATCTGTATAGCAAAGCATTTATCCCAATGCATTTTTTTTTCGCACACGATCATCTTATTCTTTTCATGTTGGATGACTAAAATCTTGATCAGTTAGCTCCAAGTTTATCTATTTTAAATACCTTCCTTTCACCTTTTTTTTAATTTTTTACAACGATTTATCCTATTCAATATATTTTTATATTTTAATTTTTCATTTAATTAATTTAATTCAGCCTTCACTTTTTGTATTACCCTTGTATAAGACTTAGCTTTTAAACGGTGGTAGAATTGTTGAAAGTTGCCACTAAAGTCTGAGTAATTTTTTTTTGTTTCTATGACTAACAACGAAAGCCGATTTGGCTGAAAGGAATAGACGATACAAGCTGTAGGTGGATATATTTATTGCAGAAGAGCTGATCGAAAGACGCAAGGTTAATAGGAGATACTGTATCAGCACTGGTAGTCAAACGATGTCTGCAAGGGGAGTCATATCTCCTGCCTTCTGGTATCTGGTATCACATCATATCCTGTGCTAAGAGGATGACACGTTCGTCTTATAGACTGTTGATTATGTTAAAAAAAATAGAGTTACAAGGAACTACAACGTTAAAGGAGTTGTATTGTGTCATATGATCATCATCATCATCACCCAGCCCTTTGCGTCCACTGCTGGATATACGCCTCCCTCATTTTTGTCTTCTTCTTCTTCTTTGGGTGCCGTGTCCGTATTCAGACGTTGGCCGTCATCATGTTTACAATTTCCTGAAACCTTTCTCTGTCGGCTGCTGCGCGAAATAATTCTTTTACTGTGAAACCACACCATTGTCTAATATTACGCAGCCATGAAAGTTTCTTTCGACCAATCCATCTTTTTCCTTCCACTTTTCCTTGTATTATAAGGCGAAGTAAATGGTATTTAGGTCCTCTAATTATATGGCCGAAGTATTCTGTTTTTCTCCTCTTTATGGTGTTTATGTTATTATTATCCTTCATCCTTCCTTATGTTATTAATATCCTTATTATCCATCATTTTTGTCTATTATGATCTATCTTGGGCACTTTTCATCCAATTTCTTGACATCTTGAGATCGTCAGTCCAACGAGTAGGGGGTCTTCCTCTATTTCTTTTCTCTAACCTCGGTCACCACTCAAGCAATCTCTTTGTCCACATTTCATCACTGATTCTTGCGACGTGTCCGGCTCAATTCCATATGATCAATGGATCCCCAAATAGGAAAAACCGCGGAGTGCTACCATTTAAAGGGGAGCGTTTTTGAGAAATATGTGTGAAAGTTTTCGTACATATGCATTTACAGAAAAGTCGTTCAAAATTAAACTTCCTATCAAAACGTCACCTTTTACAGCCAAAAATATATTTAAAAAACCAAGCGAAAAGACAGGAACACAAGCGATTTTTTTTGGCACCATAACTTTTTTCCACGGGGGTATACGTATAAGCATTGCCTTACAGAAAACAAATTCTTATCTCTCCTCTTCAAAATGAAATTTAATAAAAGTATTTAGGATCTACAATATCCCAGATACAATTTTTTAAAGTTTGTTACTCACACAATTTTTTGGTCAATATCCCTATTTTTTCGCAAAACATTGTTGTATAACTTTTTTTAACGTAGCTTGAGGTACATGCTGTGGCACATATACAAGGATCTATCACTAATTTTAAGCAAGATCATCATCATCATAATCATCAATCAGCCAATCGCGTCCACTGCTGGACATAGGCCTCCCTCAGTTCTTTCCAGTGTTCTCTACACTGGGCCGCTTGTAGCCAGTTTCCCGCTACACGTTTTATATCATCGGTCCATCTAGTCGGTGGTCGTCCTCGGCTTCTTTTATAGTTTCTGGGCCTCCATTCCATAATACGTCTTGTCCACCGTCCATCTTGTGCTCTGGCTAAGTGCCCTGCCCAGTTGCACTTAAGCGACGTGGTTCTTTCGATGACGTCTTGAACTCCTGATCTTTGCCTAATTTGTTGATTTGTTATGTGGTCTCGAAGGCTCACGTTCAGCATTGCACGTTCCATGGCTCGTTGTGTAACTCTGAGTTTATTCGCAGATTTTTGCGTGAGTGTTAAAGTCTCTGCTCCATAAGTTTGTATAGGTAAAACACATTGGTTATAAATCTTTCGCTTGAGACACAAATTTGAATTAAACTTTTTATAATGGCTTAATTTGGCAAATGCTGCCCATGTCAGGAATATTCGCCTCTGTATTTCATGTGTTTCATTATCTCTGCTTATTTTGATGATCTCGTGTCCCAGATATTTGTAAGTGTCTGTTTGTTGTATGGTATTATTGTTAATAGTTATATTTCCACTCATTACGAGATTTGTCATAAGTTTAGTTTTCTGAAAATTTATCTTTAATCCTGCTCTTTCAGACATACTTTTAAGTGAATGTATCATAAAAACTGTATCTTGTAAATTATCTGCGATTAATACAATACATCATCTGCAAATCTTAGGTGATTTAATCTTTCTCCATCTATATTGATGCCCATATCTTGCCATTGAGTGCTCTTAAATATTGACTCTAGAGCTTCAGTGAACAATTTTGGTGAAATATTGTCTCCTTGTCTAACTCCTCGCCCTAAGCTGAATTTTTCTGTGTCTTCGTGTAGTCGTATACTTGATGTAGCGTTCTCGTAGATGTTTTTGATTAGTGTCGTGTACCTGTAATCTATTCGGCTTTGATTTAGGGCTTCCAGTATTGTTTCAAACTCTACAGAATCAAAAGCCTTCTCGTAATCGACAAATACAAGAACCAGTGGTATGTTGTACTCGATGCACTTTTCTATTAAGATCTTTATGGTATGCAAGTGGTCATTTGTGCCATATCCTGCCCTGAAGCCTGCCTGTTCTTTGGGCTGATAGAAATCAAGTTTAGGTGTTAGCCTCTTTGTTAGGATTTTCATAAAGAGTTTGATATTATTAGTTTGTACATTTCAGCAAGATACGGTTCTTTAAAGTTTGCTACTTATAATGACTTTTGCTTTCACGGCTATTTTTAAATTTCTCATCATAACTTTTTTCCTGTACATTTATGTATATGCATTACAAAATAAAAAGAAAGCATACTTTCTGTAGTTTAAAATAATCTATTGTAAAATTTTCTAGAATTAACGGTAACCAAGATATTGGTTCGTCAAATTGTGATACTTGCAACGAGTTGTATATACCTAAATGTACAAGAAAAGAATACTCCAGTCGCAGTTTCGATTTTGAATTTTGTGACCCCCCAAAAAATACAAAAAAAGTTTGTCACTTCTACCCCTGGGCTTCCCCTAAAACCGCCCCTCGTACGAAGGGGAGAGGAATGGAAAACTTCGATTTACCAAGAATGTGTACGCCGTAGACAAAAATGTTTCATACAAGAAATGTAGCTGAGATAACGCTGAACAAAAATGTGTATGTAAATGTGTAGAATGAATGGTTCTCTCAGAAACAAGGCTTTTAATATTACCGGCCCAGACAGGTAATATTAAATGGTAACGCATGCAAAATTAATTTTTTAAATTAAATATGAAGCAGAAAGAAAGATGAAGAGAGCAACTTTCGTATGCAATTTTTGCATTTTGCCGTAAATAGGAAAAACTGTGAAAAACGGTATCTTGCTTAAAATTGGTCCTAAAGTATTCCGCAATACTTAATTTTACAATTTTAAAGTTAATTATTTTTTATTTCTATTTAATGTACCATTGCATATACCTAAGTCTGCGTAGAAAAGAGACTTAAAGCACATAGATAACCAACATATTGGTAACGACTTTATATGGTATCCAGATACAAATATGGAAAAATCACGCACCGAATGTACATACAAAGATAATTATGTAAAAGAAAAAGCATTGAAATAAAATATTCAAGCATACCTATGTTTTAGAGACCTGAAAAAGATTTTTAACAAAGTCAAATTCAGAGACATGATTGGAGGAAGATAGAAAAATGATTGCACAAGTGATGAGCTATAATATTACTTGCGTATTAGTCTATAAAGCTACAGAAAGCTTGAGAGAGAAGTATAAGAACAAGTGAATAGACCAGAAAGTGGCACGAGATGTTTAAATAGTACATCATGGAGAAACAAAAATATAAGAAACAAAGTTAAAAGCAGAATTTTCAAAAAATGACAGGCAGACTATAAGAGAACACGAAAAAGAATAATATAAAAAATGTATTGAAATAATTTATCTGGTACGCTCCTTTTTGTAAAATATATTAAAAATATCATTACCAGCTGTAACAAATATATGAAAAGCGAATTAAGATAGCCTGTAAGGAGGGCACACTCAATCTCCGTGACGTCAGAAGGCAAGTCTCGCCAGTAGTGTTTAGGATGGAAAAAGGAACCAACAATAACGTTACGAGGCCTGGCCCTTAAGATCGCAGCTCCATAAAAGACCAAAGGGCAACTGTTCGAAAACGAGGTCACGAGATCGATATTTATTCGTCCGCCAACGCCCCGTTTACAATACAACAGAGGTGGAGAATGAACACACTAACATCTCATTTACGTGTTTAATTGTTGTTTTTATTATCCTGTATTTTATTTTTGTAGTGTTAGGG